CTTATTCTTGTAGTAACAGTTGGTCTGCCTATGTTGTTTTATATTTTTCCTGTAGGTCTTTGTTTCAAGAAGTATCTTCTGTTCTTCTAGCCACTGCAGGTTGGTCTGCTTGTCCTTTCAAGTGGGAATTTCCCATCTCTGGAGATCTGGGTGTGGTTCTTTGTATGATATTCTTGATGTCATCCCACAACTCTCCTGATCTTCAGTCTTTAGTGTCTAATGCATCAAATCTCTTCTTCAGATGATCTCTAAATTCAGGTGGGATATGTTCAAGAGCATATTTTGGCTCTTGTGGACTTGTTTTCATTTTCTTCAATTTTAACTTGAACTTGCATGTTAGCAATTGATGGTCTATTCCATGGTCCATCAATTAATTCATTAAGCATCTGTGAAGTCTTCGTTGCTTGCTATAACCCTAGTTTTTTCTGTATTTTCAGGAGATTAGTTACTTCCAGTTTCCTGGAGAACTCTTGATGAGGATGTTGAAGATGCTGATCCTTCCACTGGTGGTCTCCAGGTGAGTGAAGTGGCAGGGCAGGGCAGGGCAGGGGGGTATGGCTAGTATGGCAGGGGATGGGGAGGGAATAGAGATAAAGTCTGTAGGTGCCCTGCACTTACCATGAGCTGCTACACTGCAGCTGCAGTCCTTGAGAGCAGTGTGATTGTGGGATCTTTATAAGAAGTAGGCTATATCACAGGCACTAGTCAGTTCAGTCCTATCCAATGACTAGTGATGTAAGCATCTTTAGTGGACAAAACAGGTGATGTGGAGTCATATGATGTGGCTCTGTCACTGTGGGATCTTGGGCAAATGGGGTCATGTCTTTGTACCTCATTTTCCTCCCCATTGTAGAATGGAAGTTGCTTTATTCCCATTATGATGTCTTTCAGCTAACACGTGTCTGTCTCTTGGGTTTCCCTGAGGCATTTGTAGTCCTAACATGAAGGCAGATATGCACACACTGACTGTGACACATAAGCCAGGGACAATGAGAGAGACTCCTCTAAAGTAGTTCAGAGCCTAGGTGTTCAGGAAGTGCTTCCTGGAGGTGGAGGGCAAGAGTAGCCTTCATCATGAATAGATATTTTGTTGTTGTTGTTGTTAGGTGCTATGGAGTTGACACTGACTCATAGCAACCCTATGCACAACAGAATGAACCACTGCCCTGTCCTGCACAAACCTCACAATTATTGCTACGTTTCAGCCCATTGCTGTTGCCACTGTG